AAGGTCTATATATACTCGCCACCTTCACTTTTTTCAATTTTTCTTTCTTTGTCATGTAGTCTATGTTATAGGCTATCGTATGATACCTTGATCTCTTCATGAATCATCTTGAAACCAGAGAACAAGCTGCCTAAGTGGGGGGTGCCTTAGGGGGTCCTTAATACCCGTCCTTACTCTAGATTCTTCACTCCCTCCCGTACAAAGGGGTCCAAGAAAGCTACACCGTGGATGACACAAGATAACACACCCCCTTTACCAATTTTCGGAGCTCGATTTCTCAACTGCAGGAACAGTCACAGCGCCCTAAAAGGTGGCGTTTAAACCGTCTGGTCAAGAGCTTTTCGAAAATGTATCGCTTCGTTTATGCATCCTCTTCGTGGAGAAATCGAGCTTTGAAAATCCGTCCAGGGGGTGTGTTATCTTGTGTCATATACGGTTGTTGTTGTTGTTGTCTTCACATTAAACCGTATGTCAGTTGATAAATGCCAAAATTTAGCAAAAGACTCTCAGCCTGTGGTCGCGAAAGTGCTAGAGCCATCTGAGGATCGAAAGAACACGCACACATATAACGAGGAAAAGGTATCCAAGAGCCCGAAGCGGTACACACAAAAATCCCTGCAGCACCGTAGACTATGCGTGCCCAAAAACTGAACTGCACGTCCGTCCCACCGTTCGACTACAGTAGCATCACCCCCTCCCTGTCCCACTCTATACCAAAGCGGAAGATTGCCGACAACAGCATACTGCTGTCTGAAGTGCTATCTGTACAAAAACACCATGGTAGGCATGGAACAAGCATACGGTACTCCCATACATAGGGGTCCGGCAAAAAAAATACATCAGTTTTTTCGTTTTGCTCTTCTTGTACGAGGATTTCGCATGCCCGCGAAACGGTCATTGATTCCTGACGCCTTCGTATTTACTCAACTCCTTGAAGCATTCCTCCGCTTCCCACTTCCCGCTACCCCAGTGGCCCAGCGGCTACTGCTGTATACATCAAACATCAACTGCCAGCTGTTACAAATCAGACGCAGCAGTTCGTTTTTCTACACGGGCAGAGGCTATACCAACCCCTGACAGTGCGCACAAAGTTTGTCATGGGACGTAGCCGAAGTCGCAGCCGCAGCCGCGAAAGGGGAGGGCGAGAAGAGAGGGGCCGCGGAGATCGAGATCGTGACCGAGCCGGAAGACGCCGTGACCGCGACCAGGACAGAAGCAGCCGGAAGCGAAGGTGTGATCTGAGGGAAGTAGAGGTACTTCGTATTCGTGCTGTGTTGGTATTGATCTTGTTGGTGTGCCGCTGCCGGTTTGCATCCACACAGCGGAACACCCCACACCCTGTGAACCTCGAGATATAGTACCGCAAGAAGCACAAGACACGGTAGCTTGTAGATTACACTCGCGTGCTCTGTCTCCGTCGGCTTGCAATCCTTAGCCCACCTCGAAGACACTTCCGGGAGGATGGAGGCAAGGACGCTGCTGGCAAGGATGCGGCTGGCAGGGACAAGTCCGGCAAGGTGGACAAGTCAAAAGCGTGAGTTTACCTCTGGTAATGAGCACACCAGGGCGGAGAGTGGAGAGGCGCTGATGTGCCGCGCTTGATCGCGGGACCGAGCCCCGTCGCTCGGGCCTTTCCTGTGTGCCAGTATGTCAGCAGCAGCTCAATTCCGTGCGCCATGTCCTCCAGCGATGAAAGTTAGCAGCTTGGCTTCCGTTTTCGGCTTGGTGTTGCCATGAGGTATGGAGCACCCCAACCGGTTCCGTGCTTTGGTAGAACGAGCGGAAGATTTTATCGCTGCATGCTGGGGCTCCTCGAAGGACGGTCTTACTACTGCTGCTGTGTAGCTGCACGCCAATCGGTCGTTTGCGACATATAAAATGCGATGCCGTACTCTCTACCTTGGAAGAAGCGCATGGCAGAACTCGTGCTTGTCCCCGGCTTATACGTTCGTAGTCACCGTTTACACGTCGTGCACACGGCCCGCTCGCGCTGTAGGACGACGAGCGTGACATCAAAGCCTTCCAAGCAAGAAGCACGAAGGGCGGAGGCAGCTATCAAGAGGCAAAAAATGCTGGAGGAGCAGCAGCGGGAGAAGGACAAAGTGAAGGATAGGCTCCATTTAATCCGTCAAATGAAAGGTATGCGCGGCCCCCCGTTTCTGTCTGCTGTAGCGGCTTGCAGGCTGATCATGACTTCTTCACGTGGATTCAACGGATTTGGTGAGCTCCGCACATTCCGTCATCGACAGCATGACAATTTTGGTCATGTTCCTTGAGATTGAAGGACAGAGCAACCTTGACCGAATGCTATGCAGCAATACATGCCCACGAACTGAAATGAATCCTTGTGTCCCAGGTGATGCTTCAGGCGAGGAGGATGCCCTTGGTAGTGGAAGCGATGGCGACGATGATGATGAGGATTTGACAGAGGTACGATGAATATATTGCCCGGACGAAGAATCTACACCGTGTATCCGTACGGCTTCACTGTGCGAGCACGAACGGCGAGCATTTTTAGCTTTCGATCACGATGCTTGCACCTACAAGTGAATTGAGCCACGGGCCACGTACACACATTGGCCTCTTGGTTCGGTTGGGGTGCGCTACGATGATGCACTTCATCTCCCGCTGCTAAGGCTAGCCCGCAATACTTAGGTACGCTTCAACCAGTGGTGAGTGAAAAATACGGCGCTTCGCTCTCGATCTCAAACAGGAGCAACAAATGATGAAGTTGATGGGTTTTGCGGGGTTTGACACCACGAAGGGGAAGGGAGTCGAAGACAACCAGCGAGGACCTGCAAAAGGCGCGATCTCGAAGCACAAGGAAAGAGAGTATCGGCAGTATATGAATCGACGAGGTACGTGGCAATGAGTCGAGGGTATTTTAGGTTCAAGTACTGTAGTTTATTTTATTCATATTTGCCTGTACACGGATTTTTTACCATCCCGCTGCATGTTCTCGTGTGTACGCCAGAGTCGAGAACACACAACGACGTTTTTAGTCGTCGCAACCGGAGAGCGCACTTCCACTTTCCTGCTGGCCTGAACACCAACCGGTAACGAAACAACCTGATCTCGACGCAGGTGGATTCAACCGCCCTTTGGACAAGATGTAGAGAACAAGTGGTGGAGCAGCTGACGCGAAGGATAACTTCTCCCTGCACCGTCGGGTGGTTGGACGGTTCTGTCAAGACACCCGCTTTTCGTGCATGTTGGTCCATGCCCCGCTTCCCTTGGCGTAAAAGTCCATCGGATAGACATCTCGCCATGCAGTCTCTTCCAGGGCGACGTCAGCTTCGTAGGGGCTGAGCAAAGGCTGCCATACCGTGCGATGCGGCGGTGGTGGCGGCAATAGATAACAACGCCAAAGAACAGACGCCGTCAGTGGGTTCGGGGTGTTGTGAAAGATTTCCGGGTTTCCGGTCATCCGGTACCTTGATCGTCATGGCGCCGGAGCGGCCAGTGATGCTTGTGAATTGATGCACACGGCAGCACACACGCGCACCGGAAATCACGCATATACGTAAGTGGACTGCCTTTTTCCGCTAGCAAGGTGAAACACGAACAAGGCATTCAACGTTGGAAATAGAAAATCCAATGTTTCCTCAAGAGAGCAGAATTCTGAGCACACTTGGAACTAATGCTCAAAACCACGTGTAATGCTCTCTTCGGGCAACACATTATCTTGGTATCTTTCACTTCGCACGCACTTTGTCGAAGAAATGCCCCCAGTCCACAGAGAGTCGGGGGCAGGCCACTTGGATCCACGCCTCAACATCTGCAAAGGCTGCCAGCTGGCGATGGGCAAGGGGGCGACGAGTGGTTGCGAATGCGTGGCGGAAAGTCGAACTATCAGTCATCAAACTCTACTCTTGTCGTTCTCCGTGGCATCAAATATTATTTCGACCCAAGTACGAAGTGATCGTTACGTGGGTAGATGGCGTGGCTGTTATTCAAATCCATCTATGCTCATTGTCGCGACAAACTCTTGATGGCACAAGCCAAAATACCGCCCCCACGAGCATCATCAGATCTGCACCGGATCTAGCTTCGCACCTTTGCCGGGAATACTTCCGAAAGAAGCAAGACGAAGAACTGTTTGCCTCTTGCCCGTAATATGGACATCAGGTGATCGAGAATGTGGGGATTTCCTTGTCGGCCTAGCGTTCCCAGAATGACACCGAACGACTTCGCCCCCCTCGCTACCTCAATCGCTTGCCTGCAGAAGGTCCATGTGTTAAGAAGTGACGAGCACAAAAGGGGAAAGCATTGTCGACGCGGTTTGGGAAGCTCCTTGCCGTAGCCACGTGGAAACGCCACACCCGACTTCAGCGCTAGTTCGACAAGTTCAGAACGTTGTAGCTTCTCTATACCGCTCCTGTTCGAACAGCTTGTGCTTGCGCAAAAACGGCGGCATCAACAGCCCTGACCAACCAAGTCACCCACAAGAACGTCACTTGCTGTCCTCCTCTAATGTTTGTGCAAGACACCCTTACTTTCGGATGTCGTGCATCTTGGGCGTGTCGTACTGTTCTCGTGTCAACACCTTCGTGTATGGGTTGTACCGAAAATGCTGCATGCCTGGGTTATGGATCATGGCAGACTGGGGTAAGGGAGCAAAGACGAAATGCAGAGCGGCCAGTCATTGCGTACAATGAGAGATGGGCGCATACAATGAGACACATTTACGTTCGCCGACCACCTCTCCGCTGAGCACTTCACCGTCATTCGAACGCATAGTGCGTAGGGGGATCATCGACTCCCATCGCTGTATGATGCGACGGTCAGTTCTTCGGAAGGACTAGTGCAACGAGGAGGCCTCACACAACGGGATTTGGTGCTGTGTTGCATCTCTCGCATCCTAGGTATTGAGGCCGTGGGGCGTCAAAGGAGTCGGAGGAAAACTGCAACTCGAAATATGAAACACAGGGCTGTTGATCCACCTTCCCGCTAGATGCGACAATCGGAAATTTGTCTGTAATCCTTGAAGGATTGATTTGGGATTTCCCCAAAGCTACAATATCTGTTATAAGTTACAAGGGAATGACCACGGTTTGAAGCCTGGGGGCGGCGCGAGCCTTCCTATAACACAAATCAAGCGTCCGTTCGTTGTTGGGAAATTTTGTCTGAGACCTGGATTTTGCTTGACACACCATCGAAGGTTTCGAGCAGAGGAAAAGTTGATATTGATTTCGTGGAATTTTAACTATTGGCCTTCCCGAGAGCGTACAACATGGACTGCTCACCAAGCACGAAAAAGTTTATGGAATAGCACAGCAACGTAGAGGCGCAAGTCACCGTGCAGCCTAGCTATCTGGCAGCGTAACCGGGCAAGTCGTAGGGAACCGCAGGTGCAATGCCGAAGGGTCGACACGGTTCCGTGTTTCAAGCCCGCCAATGAGTAGTCAAATTGAAGCACTGCGATTTGGCTAATAAATACGACGTGTCAAGATGGTTCAAACCAAAAAATAAATATCTTCGGCGGCCGATGTACCGCGCAAACTCGAACACGCCAAGACAAACCCACCTCAAGATGAAATCGCCCGTCAGCCACAAACACCAATGCGTCCTTCCCTTCGATCACGGGTGATGTGCAACCTAAAACCTCGCCAGGCGACAGAGGTTTGGCTTGGGGAACTGCCACCGCGTCGAAATGGTCCGCCAGCTGTGCACAACTTTCGTGAACTGCGCCCGCGAACTGAATAGTTCCCATGACGGCCAGACGGGTCGTCTGCACAGTAGTACGGTGGACGAAACGGCAGTGTCATGCCATTAATATGGCACGCGGTGTTCAAGAAGAACAGAAACGACCCCCATCCTGTCAAGAGATTGTTCATTCTTTTGTTCCGCTTGGGACGCTCGCAGAACACTGGAAGGTGCAGTCTCTGCACGCGTCCACACTAGATGGGATGCATCAAGAAAAACAAATAAATACAAGACTTCGCCTGATGGTTTGAAAACCTGAATGAGGCAGCGCAATTCGTCACCTCAAACACAAGGCAAAGTTACAACCTTAGACCACCTGTCGAACGTTTCATACGGAATGATAGTGATGTGTTCCTACTTGCCATCGGTCAAAAATCAAGTGCAGCCTCACCCGCGAGAAAGTACGTCGGATGCACTCTGCCAGGTGGTCGGTGTCGATGGATATCTCCACGAACACGTACAGGACTTTCACCGCTGTTACTGCGATCGGCACCAAGCAGCTGTGCCCGTAGTGGACTAGCATATCGCAGTCCAGTGCCTTTGCCGTGAGGTCGTCGATGCAGCAGGCGCCGTACGTAACGTCACCAAGAATCACGGACTGGCACCCGGCGAATTGCTCAAGGATGTCTGAAATGACGCAGGCGTACATCAGGAGCCCTTCAGGGAACTGTAGAGCCACATTGTTTGCCTTGTCCTGGATAAGCGCAACGTTGAAGCCGACACAGATGCCCGCCGATCGTCGGAAGTATGATGTTGTATTCAGACATGAAAGGTTTCTAGCATAACCACGATACAAAAAGGGGTGCTTCACAGTTCGATAGCGCGATCGACGCAGGAAGGCCATAGGAATCGGAGTTGAACATCGTTGGATGTTTTTGAGCCGTTGCTTAGACCACCTCGTCAGCGCAGAAGGCGAAAAAAAGAGAGATTGCCACTGTATGTTTTGCAAGCATGGCGCACACTGTTATATGGCCCACAAATTGTTCCCGGCTGGCCTTCTCATTTGAATTGTGCACATGTATAGCTGGATTGGTCTGGTGCAGGAATGAAACCTGGAGACAAACAATCCAAGGCTTCAAAGGGTGCAAAAAGGGTGTGGGAATATCTTCGTCTTGTTTGAGCCTGCTTCACAACGTGTCTAGGAAGCTCTCTACTTGGTACGTCCTCCACGCATTGGCCTTACAAAGGGCGGGACGGGAGAGTGTTTTTTGGAGCGCTGGATCAACGCGGCTACGTAATACCGCCCTCAAAAACTGAAATGCCGCGTACTGCGTACGTAGCCTGCACGCGGAGGTACTAATCTAGGTTGCATAACATATCACACTTACCAAGATACCACATCCCTCCATGTTGAGCCATATACTATTCACGGAGCCCCCGCTAATCACACGATGTGGCCACAGGCGATCACAATCACACAAGCGAAGCAACCTTGCGCGCCACAGTCATGAAGGCCGACAGCGTGAAGGGGGATACAGGCAACAACCCTGCTGAAAGCATCGCTGCAATGGGTCAGGCTCCATCGGCCTGTCCATGCTCGGTAACGTCAGTGTTTCAACCAGCTTCCGCGGAACGTGTTCCCCCTGGTATCGATCTGTGTATGCTCAACGGTCGAGTCACATCCTATATTTTTGGTACTGCAGAAATGCCAACAGAGAAATGAGGGAGAAAAGATGCGCAATATTCACCGTCCATGCATGAGAAATTGGGACGCAAGATAACAGGTCACACCGTTGCGGCGATAAGTTAAGGTGTCCTTCGCCCAACATTCTCCAAAGTAGAAGTAGGTGTTTCTGGGGAGCGCGCCGGCACGCGGCACTCGTTGCATACGTTACTGCCGTTCAGGAAAGGTAGGTCCCTGCGATGTGTCGGTATGTGCCCAGACAGCAGTAAGTTACTATAAAAGCACAGACGGCACTATTCAAAGCGTTGGGAACGCCTGCGAAATTCAGTGTGTGCCCGTCGACAACACCGACCATTATAACTGGGCACCTGCGCTATTCAACCGGCACAAAACAGGGAACTCTACTGCTTTTTGTAGCCCAGAGTCGAGAGTTCACCAGCGATCCCCGCCGCTACCTCCCTTGGACAGTTTGAGGCAAGTTTGCCTGCATTCCACGTGCCCTTGGTGGCTGTAGCCGTGGTTTTAGGGACAAGTCAGTTTGCGCTTTGAAGATCACGTATTGGCCCTGCCTACTGCTGTAGGCACCTCACTACTTTTATGTCATGCAGAGATGCCTACTGTGAGAGATGCAGAGCCTACGTACCTCGCGAATTCGCCACACAGTCTTTTGGATTTCGAAGTTGTAGTTCACCGGCAACCGCTCGATGGCACGATTCAGTGCAGCATTCTCCAAGATGTCAGCTGGTATGCGGTTACGCACAACACGTTGCTTCCTCATACGGTCGGCCGGCTGCTTGGTGCCCAATGTCCTGCAGTGGTGCCTGTGGATGTGGATGCGGAGTAGCCAGTCGCCAGCGCTTAGCGTGGCTGGCTTGTTGGGCTGTTTAGGTCGGATTGCTCACCACGTCCCTGCAGCGGGGGGTCCGCCGGTGAGACAGACATATGCTGAAGTATGCGGGTTCTCCGAATTTTTTTCTCAAAAAAAAAAAACGAGCATTTTTTGTGGCCACCACCACACGCACGCACACACCTTCCCCACCCCCACCCTCACCACCGCCCCTCAAGCCAGTGAAGCCGGCAACCTTACACCTGTCTTCTAGACGAGATGGCTTCACTGGTGAGTGTCCAGAGAATGATCTCTCGTCAGGTTTGACGTTGCTTGGCAATGCAGCACCGCTGTCGCGGATGAAAACGGCTTTCGGTGAACCAGTTCCAATTTTGGCATCTGCCCGAATGTCTCTTATCTGGCATGGCGTAAGGAGCTCGACCCCCTTGCCCGTTCAGAACGTGCTGACCCGATGCGCTAGCTGCCGGATAGTGACAACACAAGCTATAGTTTGCCCATGTCAAAATTGCCGGCGTGGGGATTGCAATCGTTCCCAGGGACTTTTTATTTCCGAGCTGACCGCGCTGACTCCTTGTCGTCTATTCATTCCGCCGACGCAAACGTACCAGGCGCCAAAGATGGATGACCTCAAGGTCACCGACACCTTCTACGTCACAGACTCCGAGGGAAACGTGAGTGGATGCGGTTTCCGACGCCCTTACAGAGGTCTTAAGACTTTTGGACGCGGGCTATCCTTAATGTTTTTTCATGTGGGCAGTGGGCAGATCGGGATACGTTGCAAAAGCTCGTCGAGTGCACGTTCGTGAAATTTTCCGCAGCAGCTGCTGTGAAGTGTGATGAAAGGCCAAAATCGCGCGAGTTCGGGGTAGGGGAGGGGAGGGTACATGAGTGCGAGCGCTCTACGTACTCGAACCTACGTCATGGCTGATCAACTTAATGGTAGAGCCGCTTTGGTCAACATCGCTCGCTCCCCCCGACAAGTCTGTTCCATTGCGACCAGCAACACAAGAGCCTTGTCCACCACCCACGTTTTTTCGTGGGCAACGTCATCGCGTGTTTTATTTTTTCATGTGTACGTCAGAGTGTTCGGAAAGAACGCCAAGTGTCTGATTCGTTGGTGTGTCATGCCTTTTTCATTCCACAGTTCAAGAGGCCCATCGCCTCTTGAGATCTACATGGCATGTTCTTGAGCGAATGAGGCAATTAGAGTGCAGTCGTGTGCTGTCGATGACGTCTACTCCTGACGTAAAAACACCAGTCGAATATATTTGAGAATGTTCCGTTTGACCACAAAAACGTTCTTGAACAATGTCCTGATGAAGATTCACAGCAACAAAACACCGCTTTTATTGTAGGAGGCAGGTAATATGCGTACATACGAGCGCTCCTTCTCCTTCGCCACTGCTTCGGTACCGGGTGTGGTCGGCCTTCATACCTTTCGTATCTACTTCGATCACCGTCAGTAGGGAACGTATGTGTTTCTAGCATGCGTTGACTGCTGTGGTGACGTTATGTTTAGGAATTTTGCTGTGCAATGACGACGCTCTTTGTCACCCGTTTCCATCTGGCCGCGACTCTTTCCCTCAAAAGGTCGCGGAGCTTTCCGTGGCTGCCGCCGAGGTTAACAACTCTGGGGTACGGTCGCTTGAGCCCCTTCTCGAGGGCTTCAAGAAAGCCGTGGGGGGCTCCAACGTGGAGCAAGCGGAAGGTGCGCTCAACGCCATGACGCACTTCATCAAGGAATGTCCTGTGGCTGAGCCATACATGGCGTCGCTGCTGCCGATCGTACTCACGGCGGCGTCGCACAAGGCGAAGAACGTGCAGAAGGCCGCAACCATCACCGGCGAGACGTTCGCGGCGAAGATGTCGCCGAACGCCGTGGCGGCCGTGCTTCCTGACCTGTTCGCTTGTCTGGACGTGGGGCAAAACTGGCAGACGCGTGTGCTGGCTCTCAACATCATCACCTCCTTCAGCGATCACGCCTCACACCAGCTGGGATACAACCTGCCGGACGTAGTACCCGCGTTGACGCCGTGCATTGGCGACACAAAGAAGCAGGTCAAGACCGCTGCGGTCGCAGCGATGACCGCGGCATGCGACGTCATCGGCAACCGAGACATGGAGCACATGACCACCGATATCGTTAAGGCCGTGATCAACCCTGGCACTGTGCCGGAGATCATGCACAACCTGGCGAGTGTCGCCTTTGTGCAGTCGGTGGAGTCTCCCGCGCTGGCAATGGTGGTGCCCCTCCTTCTCCGTGGACTGCGCGTGAAGGAAACTGCCACCAAGCGCCAGTCAGCTGTCATCATCGAGAACATGAGTAAGCTGGTCGATGAACCGACGGACGCGGCTCCTTTCTTGCCTCTTCTGATGCCCGCCCTCGAGAAGGCTGCCGGCACCATCGCGAACCCAGAGGCGCGCGGTATTGCAGACCGCGCCTATGCGCAGTTGATGCGTCTTGACGGCTTGTGCAAGATCAGCAAGTCGAAGAAGTCCGACATGGCGTTGGTAAGTTCATTCACAGAGATGTGCATACGTGTCACGTAGGGGGGCAACAAGATTACGCGCGGTGATCTTGTATCACATATTTGATTGACGTCACAGTATTCTAGATGACAGCCTGGTGTTGTTGCCGGGGAAGGTCGGCGTGAGATGCTTGGTCAGCTACCCTACAAAATGGGGTACGGTGCTTGATTCGTTACCACATGTATGCTTGTATGTTTCGTGTTACATTCTTTCGTGCTGCTCTCGCATGAAGACACTCCGGCTTGCAATTCATTTTTGTTACAGACGCTGACTTGATGAAAGCGAAGAGCTACAAGTGAATCACGCGGTAATTTTTTAAGCGAAGGGCTTCTTGGTTGGTTGTTTGGTTTGGGGTATTTTTTACTGTGCAACTTGTGGCCAGGGGCAGCTAATGGCAAGGTGGGGCACCGACCACCACCTGGGTGGGAAGGTTGCAAAGAGTTTCCAGCCAAAGTGTGCAGGCGATCCCACAAATCGGATAGTGGCGTTATTCCAAAAACAGCGTTCTGCAAAACCCTAATGCAAAAATGGGTGAGAAGGTCGAACTCGGCCTCCCACCCTCCAACCCCAGGTTGTACTTGCTGCCCAACCTGCCCCCCTGGCCACCCGTGCATATTTTCGATGTGTCTACCGAGCACTTAAACGAGCATCTCAATTCGTTGCAATTCTGTCTTCTAATTAGCAACGGCGGTCAGTAAATGCATGTACCGATGCAGCACCCGTGAGTTTGTAATTCGTTATTCTGTTAAAAGCATTGGCCATCATGATCCTTTTCCACTTGCCACTTGCCACCCGTTCACACTTCGCCTCCTCTGGTCCTACAGCCGTGTGGTACAACGTGCATCCACGCAATGCGAAAAAAACGATGTAAACGCTCCTGTGTTTTTCTTCTCCCATGCTTTTGCCAGGTTTCCGCTGCCATCAGGAATGTGGCTCCCTCCCTCGCCAAGGATGACTTCACGGACATCGCCGTGTCCTACGTGGCCTCCATGTGCTGCACGCTGATGGACCTCAAGCAGACCACTGACGAGGAATGGGCTGGTGTTGGCGAGCTGTTGGCCCTTCTTGTGAAGGACCTTCCGAGCGACGCCACCGCGACTCTCAAGTCGAAGTGCGCGGAGATGATGGTTGCCGAGGAGGCTGTGGACGATGACGAGGATGCGGAGGAGCTTTGCAACTGCCAGTTCACCTTGGCATACGGTAAGAAGCTCCGTAGTTAAGGAGAGTTATCGTGCCACGTCAATCATCCGATGTTGTGTAAGCGTGAGTAGCAACCAGTCCAGCCTCGTTTCCACTGTCAATTATTAATAGCTGGGTGGGTCAAACGCCTCGCTGTCAAAACGAGTCAGAGTTGGGGAACAGCGACATGTGTTTTAAATCAAGTATTTTGCATACTAGTTTCGACGAACGAGTCTAACGTTGTGCCAATCCTATCGCTTTGTGAACGTTGGTCCTACCGAGTTGTGGATTTATCATATGCACAGAGGTGATAACGACAATTCGAGCCCGCGTATGCAAGTCGCGAAATGAGAACGAACACGGGCAAATCGTGTCGGCGCCTAACAACTCGTTTGGACATTATGCGTTTCCGTTCTGTTCCAGGCACCAAAATTCTCTTGCACAACACTAAGATGAGGCTGAAGCGCGGTAAGAACTACGGTCTCCTTGGTGGAAACGACTCGGGCAAGAGCACCCTGATGCGCGCAATCGCGAACGGTTCTGTGGAGGGATTCCCCGACCCATCCGAGGTACGCACGGTGTTCGTCGAGGCGGACATTCAAGGCGAGCAGTCTCATCTTTCTTGCGTCGACTACGTGATGGCGGACGAGAAGATCCAGCGCATTGGTATCGACCGTGCGCAGGTTACGGAGGTGCTGGCCACGGTCGGTTTCACCGAAGACGGGAAGGCCAAGCCTAACCACGCGGTATCCACGCTGTCGGGAGGATGGCGCATGAAGCTGGCCATGGCACGTGCGATGCTCCAGAAGGCGGACATCCTTTTGCTGGACGAGCCGACCAACCACTTGGATGTTATCAACGTGGCGTGGGTGAAGAACTACCTCAACAGCCTCACCAACGTCACGGCGATCATGGTGTCGCACGACTCCGGTCTCCTCAACGATTGCTGCAGCCACATCCTTTCGATCGAGAACCTGAAGCTCGTCAACTTCAAGGGAAACCTGAACGAGTTTGTGGCGGTAAACCCCACGGCCAAGTCTTTCTTCGAGCTCAAGGCGTCCAAGCTGAAGTTCAACTTCCCGCAGCCCGGGCCAATCGAGGGCGTCAGGTCCAAGGGTAAAGCGCTGATGAAGATGGCGCACTGCGACTTCACGTACCCCGGCAACACCGTGCCCACCCTCTTCGACATCTCTGTGCAAGTCTCTTTGTCGTCGCGTGTTGCGTGTGTGGGCGAGAATGGCGCGGGGAAGTCGACCATGATCAAGGTGCTGACTGGCGAGGTTGTACCGCAGACCGGCGAAGTGTGGCGGCATCCCAATGCGCGAGTAGCTTACTTGGCGCAGCACGCATTCCACCACATCGAGGACCACATGAACAAGACCCCGAACGAGTACATTCGGTGGCGGTTCGCCAACAACGGCGAGGTGCGATTGCCGAACAGATGTACTCGCGTGTGCTATGTCTTGGTGTTGCCGAGCTTGATATCTGAACTAGGAACGCCAATATCTTTTATTGTCTGCATTATTAGATACCATGGGCTTATGGAGTCTGCTCTCTGAACTTGAAACGCCAATGCTTTTCTTATTTTATCGCAGGACAAGGAATCGTTAGTGAAGGTTTCCATGGTGGTGACCGAGGAGGAAGAAAAGCTTCAGAAGGCACAGTTTGAAGTCACGTGGACCGATGAAGAATCCGGCGTGGCGAAGAAGGCCAAGAAGGTACACAGGGTGTTGAGTGACAGTCCGCACGCTACAGTGAAAAATATGGTTCCCTATAAGGCGACAATGATCAAACCAATTCGCTTTGTGAATAGTGGCCGTGATTCGGCCGCCTCAGTGTATGTGTGTAGTATCTAACCCAGGTCGAGCGCATGCCAGTGATGCGGTTGTTTTTCTCTCTTTCACCCAAGACGATGTTTTACGAGATAGCTATATTCAATGAAGACTTCTTGACGGGCCTGAAGAACCATGATATCCACAGGGCATTGGCGTTTGTGTGGTGGGTTGTGAAATTTGGTCTAACACTCGCGAGTTCATTCGTCCGTCTGGAGCCCCTCCCTAACGGGTGTAATAGTAAAGGTCTTCTAATCTTCGGGATCCGAGTACACAGTACACTTTCGCTACATACTGGAGTTCTCGACCAACATATTCTTAATTTTTCATTCCTCATCACATCCCTCGTTCGCCGCCGTGCACTAGGTCGTTGCCGAGCTCCTCGGCGGCCGTCGCCAGGACAAGACCAAGGAGTACTTGTACGAGGTTCGGTACACCGTGGCCAGCGACGCTCCCAACTACCTTCCCAGGAAAAAGCTCGAGAAGCAGGGATGGGGGAAGGCCATCAAGGCTATCGATGCGCGCATCGCCCAGACAAGCGGCCTGTACGTGCGACCGCTGTCCTCCTCCAACGTGGAGAAGCACCTCGCGGATTGCGGCCTGGCCGCAGAGTTCGCCACTCACACCCGGATGCAGGCGTTGTCGGGCGGGCAAAAGGTGAAGGTTGTGCTGGCTGCTGCCATGTGGAACCAGCCTCACATCCTTATCCTCGACGAGCCCACCAACTACCTCGACCGTGAGTCTCTTGGGGCACTGGCGTGCGCCATCGACGAATTCCAGGGAGGTGTAGTGATCATCTCACATAACAATGAATTCGTGAGCACGGTCTGCCCGGAGGAGTGGGTGATGGACTCGGGCCGGCTTGAGACGAAGGGCGACGCAGGGTGGATGGAACGCCAGGATGAGAAGATCAGCGACCAGGCTGTGATCAAGGAAGTAACGGATGCTGCAGGGAACGTATCCAAGGTGAAGGGCCCCAAGAAGAAGCTCTCCAAGCGCGACCACAAGGCACTGGCGAAGCGAATTAAGGCGAAGATCAGCGAAGGCGCCGACCTCGACAGTGACGAGGACGAGTTTGCAACGGAGAACGATCTTTACTGATGTAATCAGTGAAGTAGATTGAAGGTTGCTGTTCGTTTTCATACCTTGCGTTCCACCCAACTTGCGGCTGACTTTTGAAGCGGTTCGAGTTCGTTTGTGTCTACTTTGTCGTGTTGGTGCGAGCGGACAGTTGTTCGTGAGGCATCTTTTGGTTGTGTTGATATTTTGGGAGCGATTTGCTTCTCTTTGACGAGGCGAAAAGAATAATCCGGTATGGTCGAGTTCTTTTGAGCACGTGTTTCATGAGTTTGTCTACTCTCGTGTGATTTACTGGATTTTATTTTCATGTCCTCGGGGGAAATCGAAGCGATGTTACCTCTCTACGAGCAAGCCTTTCTGGGATGCAATCGATGGGTTTAATTTGCAGCCGTTGCAGCACCGTCCTACGGAAGTGAAACCGTCGCACTGACAACATGCAGTGTGTATGTACCCCAAGCGCTCAACGATATCAAACTACTTTGTTTCGCCGGGTCCTTCGCTGCGCCTGCATATTCTTGTCCGCATAGGGGGGTTTTGGCTGGCTGCCACACGTGCAAGTGTAGTGTGTCTTTGCCTTTCCCGAGAGATCAGCTAAACATCCTGACTGTGGAATGGCAAAGAGTCATGGAATTTATAGTCTGCGGATGTATGCAAGCCAATATCACGATCAATCAACACATGAGTGCGATGCACATAACAACGCCCGCACATGAATCAAGAACTTTTTGCTCAACATTGGAGCAAGCGTGGTACCGCAAGGTTTGTGAACGAGGATGGACCAAGCATGTGCCATCCACAACGATCGAGAACGAAACGGTGTGGCACAGCCAAGCAGCATTAACCTTGGGTGACGAGTAATCAAAACACATCGCTCTTCACACGGTGTATTCACAGTATGGAAGTATTTGGACCATTCAAGCACGTGCTGGCCAGAAAATTCGCACTATTAGCCTATTTTATTTGCTCAATAATGCCCATCTCTGTCATCACCCCTACGATTCCTTCCACCTGAAAACAGCGACGCCGCTCTGAAAACGCCCCCTAATATGCACTTTGTGCACCCAGCATGCGACGTAGCTCGGCCAGAGCTTGCCTTCCAGCTTCTCAACAACGGGCCAGACGCCTCCGCTTGCTGGTACGCCAGACTTCATCCCTACCGAACTTCTACTTCGGGATGAGGTGACCCCCTGAGCAAGTGCAGAAAAGCAACTTCACACTACCAATTTTAGTCAAGCCTTTTCACTATGCCCATCTCCGTCTTCAACCCTACGATTTCTCCCACCTAGAAACAGCGATGCCGCCCCGAAAACGCTCTGAACATGCGCATTTTGTGCACTCAACACGCTACCTAGCCCGGCCAGAGCTTGCCTTCCAGCTTCTAAACCACGAGCCTGAGCGGAGGCGCCTGACCCGTCGCCGCTTGCTGGTGCGTCAGACTTCATCCCTACCGAATTTCTACTTCGGGATGAGCCGTTCGGATGCTGTAGTCGCACCACGTCTAGAGAGAGCGGGAGAATTTCAAACCGACGCGCTTTCGGAGCCAAGGGAATAAAGCTAGACGACGAACCTAGTGCCCCGTCCGGTGATACTGAAGCTCTGGATGGCGCAATACTAGAAGGGGTTGTTTGTTCGAAAATCAAAGAGAGAGGCGTGTGACACGCCGCCCAGCACGCTGATGCCGCCGTCTGAAGGTGCGGCATGTAAATCTGCAAGTTGATCGGATCTACCAGATCACACAGAGTTGAAACAACCGACTCCATCGACGGAGATGATTTTGGAGAATCTGAAACCCACTTCTGCAAGAAGAGAGCATCCAAAAGTAGCTGAAGTTGTGCCGCCTCGCACGCTTGTGCCGCTGCCGATTGTGGACCCTCGCAAAGTCCAACCAGTGCATGGCTCAAATCGCTTGACGCTCGGACAGCAGCTAGAGATCTCGCACAGCGTGCCGCCCCCTGGCCAGTGGCCGCATCCGGTGCCGACAAACCCAAGGACCGTTCCGCGTCTCCAGGCGACTGCGCATCCCGTGTCTTGCATCCGCTGCAACTCGCAGGCATGGCACGTTCGGTGAGGTCGGCTGTACTCAATATCCGGCTCAGTTCAGCGGCTACGCCTTCGATGTAGCACAGAATAGCCGGAGAAACCATGATGGGAAAGTGCACGGTCTCTTGGATGCCATCTCCGTCGTCACGATCAAGCTCAATCGTCTTGTCCTCCCATACGCCATGGGCCTGCCGCCACAAGTCATTGGTCATCCCAGGGTTGGAACACAAAATCGCCAGCGCATGGCATCCCTCAGTAAGGAGAGCAGCAGATTTTTCCAAAGCCCATTCTGACCACACTGCCAGGGACTCCGACAAAATAGTTTCAAGACAACTGGTCAAGTGCTGACGCGGCCGTTGTTCTTCGAGGAGCCGGGTGGCAAACAGGAAGAACTCGTTCAGGGTGAACGATGCGTACCGGCTAGGGTCGACAGCAAGTGCCGCTGATGCCCCGAAGGATACAGCTTGAAGCGCCTCAGCCGCTTCCTCGGTATCAACAACACCGTCGCCATTCGTGTCCGCTATGACAAACGCTGCTTCTAGCTGCTGCTCCTCGATGCGCCCACGTCGCCGTTTGGCAAAGCATGCCGGGGGTGTGAGGGCATACTGCAGAGGTCCCCCGCTTCGGCCATTCAACATCCATGCTACTCGGCCGATCAAGAGCCCTGCATCAGCAAAGCTGCTAACAGCATTCTCAAGATCCCCAATTCCCCCTCCGTATGGCACACATCGTCGTTCCTGCTCCGCAGCGGACTTGATGCAGGCATGAATCTCCTGCAGCGCAATGCGAAGGTGATTGGCGAGGCCCGCCGCCATGTCCACGCTTAGGAGATAAAAAGAAGTTTTCAGCGCATCTGCCGCAGTTTGATCACCGCGCTCTGTTAAACACGTTGCATCTCCCGCAAGATTGCGGATCTCCGATGTCAGTAGTGACACTACTGCGTCGGCGGCTGCGAGAATATCGTGTGCCATGAGCGCATGGGGTTGCTTCTGCCCGTGGCTTCCGGAGGAACTACTTGCTTCTTGCACCCCCTGCCCCGTCTCGTTCCGTGTGATGGCAAGCAGTATCGAGTCAAGGCGACACTCCACATCTCTCCGGATGCTAGCTAGCGAGTCCTTCAGCAGGGCCTCTGCCAGGTCGGCAAAAATCTGGCTGAAGAGCAGGGACCACAAATCTAGCTGAGGGGAAGATACGTCCTGCCCCCAAGCGCGCGTACTGCCGTTCGTATCACCATCCAAAGCAGATACATCGATTGCGAATGAGGTGGCTTCCATCCACATCGGCCCCTCCACTGCTCTTACGCTACCCCCCGCACCCTTTCCTGCTGCTGGTGTGGCCCACGCTCCGTCTCCATGGGTTGCCTTCCACAGAGAGCCGCGGATGCGCGCCAGAGAGTTGGTATCACCGGTCGCCCTGAGCAGACGCTCGCTAAAAGCACGAATTTTCGGAGTTAGCACAGACAACCAGGTCGTGCACATGTCCTGTGCATCATGCGCTGACGGCCTCAGGTTTGCTTGACTGCGGCATGAGGGGTGGGCGAGATCCTCGAGCATGCAGCTTCCGTTTCGCCCTGGCGCAAAGATGGCGTGCACATCCACAATCGTCCTTTGCACGGTGGTGACAGCGGCGTGCAATACTTGTTCTATGTCAGCGGAATTCTCTTCCTTCGTAGCCCGCGTAAGCATCGCCGCCACAGCTCCACCTCTGCGCCGAAGAAGGAGCTCCAACAAGCACCTAAAAATTGAAAAACAAGGCGAAAGTTGACATGATGAAAATAAAAAACAGCAGTCAACCGCGGTCGATCGGCACATAGGGAACAACGAGTACGTTAGGGACTCACCGCAGGGGGTTGGCATCCTCGAGCGCCTGCAGCTGAAGTATTGCCGTGAGCGCTCCAGCGGTCTCTTGTGTGTTGCAAGAACGCGTCAAAAGGCGAGTCCCAGCCGACAGGATGCGACGAGGAAACTGCTCGACGTAAGTCACATGGCCACGTAAGAAGGAAGCGACACCGGAGTCCACTCCCGTGGAGAAGGTGCTGGACAAGTCGGTCCAGCTACGTCGGCATCTGAGAACAAGATTGGCTGCCTCAAGTACCTTGTCCGAGTCCAAAGCAGCCCACATAGCGGCTGGCGCATGGAGCATGAGCTGAACCACCTGGGTATGCGCAACAAGGGCTACGGTTACGCAACATTATTATAGAGAGTGGAAAACACCGAACGGTGTTCCGCCCATGTCAAAACAGAGCTGGACACTAATGTTCTTGAGATTGAGATGCATGATGTGCTGGTCACTACAACTGTACAGCTGTCGGCTTTGGCGTCCTAAGGTGCCACTCTTGTGTTTCTGGCAGGAGAGCTGGCATGCTCCTCAAGGTAGGGCTCCAAGCTCAGCTCACCTCCATTGCATGTCTCGCGACCGCGTCTTCACAAACGTCGGTGCAGCTGAGATCACTGGTCCCTGGAGATAGCGACGAAGGGACCTGAAACGGCGGGTGCGAGTGAGCGGCGGTGGAAACGCTTCGTCGGAAATGTAATACAGTTAGCGCCCGCGTTAGAGACGCCATTTTCTGGTCTAGTCTCAAAATTCTTATATTGTGTGCTGAAAACTCAGCGTACGCTGTTCCATTTCTTATGAAAAGCTACCTATCTTTTCGTGATGCTAGATCAATCGGCAATTCCTTGTTTCTTCTGCTTGCTTACACATTAAGCCAAATGATAATGAAATGCGCTGCTTTCTTCGCCTCCCGTACTCAACCACGCTTAAAAAAAACGACTCCTCCTCCCTCGTCGTTCGTACTGCTGAGAGGGGGTAAGGGAGAAAGGAGCTGTGGGGTGAGAGGAGCTGTGGGGTGTTTCTTATTCTCGACACATTCACCCGTAACCCCTCGTCTCTATGCAGTAGGGTACGGTCGTTCCTGTTTTCGTACTTATACTGCGGGCCAGAATAGCTGTGTTTCTCAACACTATTTTCTTATTTTTGTGGAAATTTGAGCCGTTGTTTCGTAATAAAAAGGGAAATGGATAAAAGTGGGTATACCCACGCCATTCTCGGACAAAAGTGGGTACTCGAATATCCAGCGGGCGCGCTCTCCATAGGCGACCTCCAAACGACTCAAGACCCAATTCTGACACCTGGGCGACAGCCAGGGACCGTACACTGCACGGGCATCGATTCTTTCCCACTTTCAGGTACACCTTTGGCCCTAATACCGCCGAGACGCGCAAGGCCTCACCAAAGTGCCCACTTCTGTCCGACATCGCGGTGGGCATACCCAGCGGCGTCTACCAATTTTTTTATGTACTCCCTTGTGTCTAAATTTTGACCCACTTTTGTCCAAATTGTACCCACTTTTGTCCACCTACGGACGGCGGAAATCGAGCGGAAATCGAGCGGAAATCGACCTCCACGTCACCGCACGGCAGAATATCGAAAGCCTCGGAACGTCTCAGAACCTCCCAACACCGTATCCATGGCTGCCGACTGCGGACCGACCGCGAAGGAACATGTCAGAAACATGCCAGACCCCTTCGGTACCGGCACGGAAGATACCGGGCAAGGGAAGATACCCGCAGCAAGCCCGGCAAGCAGCGCACTAACTGCTCGCCACAAATAGATGCGTGACACACAACGGACAACAAAACCAACGGGCGCGTATACAGAACAAAAAGACGCACACACGCGCCGCACGCACACAAAAAACATCAACCACCACGACGAGTGCAGACCGACTCGTCACGGCAGCAGCAGCATGTCGAGGCAGTTTACCACGCAACTACGTGATGATAAGAGGGTATTCACTTGCACTACAATAAAATCTCTATATACGAAGTGAAAATCCGACCACATTCCCGCCGTCGGTCCGCAGTCGGCAGCCATGAATAGGAAAGATGCCATGGATACGGTGTTGGGAGGTTATGAGACGTTCCGAGGCTCTTCGATGTTCTGCCGTGCGGTGACGTGGAGGTCGGTTTCCGCTCGATTTCCGCTCGATTTCCGCCGTCCGTAAGTGAACAAAGCTGGGTCAAAATTTAGACACAAGGGGGTACTGAAAAAATTAGTAGACGCCGTTGGGTATACCCACCTCGATGTCGGACAGAAGTGGGCACTCTGGTGAGGCCTTGCGCGTCTCGGCGNATGAGACGTTCCGAGGCTCTTCGATGTTCTGCCGTGCGGTGACGTGGAGGTCGGTTTCCGCTCGATTTCCGCTCGATTTCCGCCGTCCGTAAGTGAACAAAGCTGGGTCAAAATTTAGACACAAGGGGGTACTGAAAAAATTAGTAGACGCCGTTGGGTATACCCACCTCGATGTCGGACAGAAGTGGGCACTCTGGTGAGGCCTTGCGCGTCTCGGCGGTCTTAGGGCCAAAGGTGTACCTGAAAGTGGGAAAGGATCGATGCCCGTGCAGTGTATGGTCCCTGGCTGTGTCGCCCAGGTGGCAGAATTGGGTCTTGAGTCGTTGGGAGGCCGCCTATGGAGAGCGCGCGCGCTGGATTTTCGAGTATCCACTTTTGTCCGAGAATGGCGTGTGTATACCCACTTTTGTTCATTTCCCTTCTGGGGCTTAATCGGGGGCGCCAACTGTAAAACATCTTGACTTCAATGGCCCGCGTATTCAATTTACATCGACAGCATTTACAATTTGCTACAACGCATTCGACATGGAGCGCAATGTATGGAAAAAGTGGTAAAAACATACGGGACGGCATACAACATCCTTCTGACGCTGGCTCTATTTCCATATATAGAAAACAAAGCGACCCGCCCGCCGCTCAGATCTGATGCATTCTACTGCCATCAGTAGAGGACAGCATGAAGAGGCGGCGTACGTGATGCACGGTGGGGTTTGCTACTGGAGCTGAAATACCGAAGGTCGCAGCTGTCTATCAAACAGTCTTAAATTTTCGCCGTAACCCAGCATTTGTCACAGCCGTGCTCACCGCCGCCACGCACGGTAAACCCCTGAACCGCGGGTCGTCAGTAGCAGCTGGTGCCATCAGCTACAACTGCAGTGTTCCCGCAATCCAGGAGAAGCAGCACAGGATACAGGACACTGGGTGTCGATCCAATGTGCGGAGATTGTAGGCCGCAACTACAAACCTCGATACAACCACCCAAGAAGCGAACTCGAGCGCGCCAACACATACGCCCCGCTGTTGTCGGGTGTCCTCTAGTGCTACCATCAGTAGAACATGCGTGAGGGAGTTCTAACGCAAAACTAACCTTGTTGAGGGCGTGCCGTTGTGGCTCTTTTGACTTGAATTTAGTGTAGATTTTTATCTTGATTTCAAGGGAGGCGTGTGGAGGCATGATACGCACGCTTTGAGCAACCTCTACACTTGTGTTATTTCTCCCTGTGCGAGAATCAACGATTTCTGTTTTTCCCGATGTCGTCCGACTGGGCTTGTGTGTCTCGTGTGCGTTGTCTGGTGCTCTGGCGATTGTGTTCAAGATCAGTCAAATTGATCGTACGGGCCGAGTCGTCCAATGGTACAGAGTAACAAGCAGTCCGGTGTGCAACAGCTGCTGCTGTGCAAGACAAAAGTAGACAGCAGCAATTCCAGGCCTGTGTCTGATGCCTCTGTACGATCATATCATACAATATCAGGGATGAGACAAACACCGACCTGGAGGCGAACAATAGTCGAGGACCTGGAATGCAGCTTGCGTACACGAATGTGCACTTTGCACGTACATCGACTTGCGGTCCAGCTTATACGCCCTCCCGTCGAGGGCGCGTACGCAAAAAGCTTTATTGCTTGTTTTTCTCCCATCATTGGACTCTATCTTCTGCCCCTCTGGCCCCTATTTTCGACTTCTACTAGCTAGACGACCCAACCGGGGTCACACAGGAGGGGGGGGTTGGACCCCCTCCTGCAGTTCCTGCCTGAGATATTTTTATCGCGACAAGGGTACAGCAATCCTTTCCCTCGCGACTTACGAAGTCGATTATGGTTTACTAACAACGAACTTTGCAGCGCGTCGCTTCCAACAGAGGCCAGGATTTAATTAGCGAGAAAAAACTCACTCTGTCGGGACTTGAACCCATTACCTGTCCCTTAGCAGAGTGTGAGGCTACCCACTAGACCACCGGGGCGACCGGAGTATTGTGTTCATATGTACACACCTGCTGAAGAACCTTGGAACATGCTTGGGGGAATTTCCGCAGGAGGCCCAGCACCTCCGCCCCTGTCTCCTTCATGGATACGATGCTGTCCGCAGACTCGATCAGCTCGTGGTACCGGGAGCCCACCATGAGCTGGAACGATTGAGCACGGAAGAAGCTCAGTAACGAGTACCAATCAATGCGAGTGGGCGGCTTACGAACTTGCGAGTACTCGGTGCGTGGGGGGATCGGGCGAATAGCTTCTGCAATGTTCTGTGCCACACCTGCAGCTCCGTTTGCTTGTCCACAACCTGTGAAGAAAGCGTGTCGAGCAAACTCCATGCTTTCTCCACAGACATGTGCTCCAATGCACGCTCAGGGAATACCATGTCACCAACAGTGGCAGGTGAAGGTCCATACATGTTCACACGCCACGATTGTGCTGGGTCAGTGTTATTGTCTTTTTCTTTTTTTTTCTTGGGCACTTCCCTCCTCAGGACGGGATGGCCACGAGCCGGTTGGCGTCGAAGAAGGGACAATCCGCTAGAAGATGGGCTGTTGTAGGGTAGAGAAGAAGGAACGAGATGAATCGATTCACGAGGCCTGGGGTATGGACGATCTGGGCGGCTGAAAAAGTACGCCGGGGCTTCGCAGATGGTACACCCTCGTTTTCTGCGATCCCCCGCAAACCCCTCAATTGCCCCCCCCGGCGCCACAGTAGGCTGCGTGTTTACAAAGCCGTAGGAGCCTCGTCGTGGGCACCAGACAGAACATAGCCTCGTTTTTCTGTTGTGCTACTCGTGGGAGAGCTATCGGTGCAAGTTTTGTGTGTTTGTTAGCTTTCTGTGCGTAGAATCGAATCCGCCTCGCGTCAGAGCTCCCACACGCGGAGCAACTCCGTCCAGCAGCCGCACCAAGCCCAGGTTAGTTACCAGCAACGGGTCTTCCGCTCTCAGAGGGTGCGTTGTGTAGCTGAGGTGTTTTCATTACTTCCCCTGTTATATCGCCGTCGATTATTGTCTGTGGACGCCAAAACCGGCGATTTGGCGATCAGCTGTATACCCCCATAATCAAGGGTTTTCTGCAGAATGGTCCGTAGTTTCCGCGCCTCGTGCGGTAAACCTTTGCACGGCAAAGAAGAGGCAGCAGCAGGGGAGCTTCGTCGGTGCTTCGCATGTGACCGTCCGGGTAGCCGCGACAGGTGCTCGATAAGTTGGCAGCATGTGGGGGACTCGGAAAGATGGGCGGGGCTGGGCGAGTGGTCTGCGAGTGTTGGGTCAGTCTGGCGTCATGATCGCGATCTTCAACAGGGAACCCTCTCCAGATGGGAGAGTGCATCTGTTCCCGGACTGACTGCGTAGTTGGCTTGTACAAGAGGGAGAAGAAGAAGGAGCTTTGTACAAAGTGGTGGTTGGGCAGCGGTCGCCGATGGGCCAGTATCCTTCGACGAGATCTCAGGTATGATTTCGTAGATACACCACCTCTGTCTACAGCAGTGTATAATAATGATGCAAGAGAACGCACGGGGGTGTCAGCATTTATCATGGCGTGATTTCTCACAACCAGTAGGGTGCCACTGCCGACAAGGGTAGTTTTGGAAATATCACGTGGAGGTCTTTCTGTTTTGGCGGCTGCGCGTAGAATCTACACAAAATACTATGATGGGCCGTGACTGTCCGGTGGTCGCGGCGCTAGGGGTATGGGGGCCATAAAACAGGAATTGAAGTATCGGACGCTTCCCTGTTTGCCCTCTAGAGGATTCGAAGAGGCGGCGGTTATGCCGCATCTACGAAGAAGAGACAACTTGAATGTGTTTCTCCGTGGCACGTTTTCGCGAACGTTGCTACCCACCCGGTGTTTACTTAACACCCCCCATGTGGACGGAGGATAATAAAGCCTGTTAAAGTGCACGTTATCACCCTTTAACATGTCTATCGCATGCCTAACTAAGTCATGCTAACATGGTATGGTGGGTTCTATCGCATGCCTAACTAAGTCATGCTAACATGGGATGGTGGGTTATTACCGTATGCTATGAGATGTACGTGTTCACAGTCATCATTCGCACGAAGGTCGTCAGCAAGCTGCGACACTATTTGCTTGATACCGTACAAGGAATGGATACCGTCCGGGAGAGACAACGAAGACAGGTGAGCGCAACCCCCCTACATCACACTGATTCCCAGCCCCGAGGAACCGGTCTACGCACGAACTGTACTCAGCTACGAAGGTGAGAGATGTATGAGCGTTTCGTATGAGCGTCTTGTCAGCTGTTTTAACATTTCTGGAGAGTATCGGTCGGTGCTCGCACCCTCATCGTCGTGAAGCAAAAAAAGGTTAGAAAAATGTTATCACCCCCGTGCGTTCTCTCGCATCCTCACGGTAGGTCACTCATTTGTATCATGCATGGCTCTGGGCGAGTTTTTAGACCGCGCGAGGACACCACTAGTAGAAACAACCCTATTTCTTGTTTGGTGCATGTGTTCTGGCTTCCCACGTGACCGCATATGCCTGCCATTTTTTTCTGGGATCTCGACCGTCGCCATTTGCTGTTGTTGATGGCATGGTACCGGGCGGTGCCCGACCCATCTCTCAACACATGCCTCCCTCGCCCTGCTCCTTATTGTGTGACATTTGTTCGGTTGGCCTTTGTTGCTGTTTCTCACGTTGGTGAGTACGAAGATTACACCGTTGTGCGTCGTTGCCTTTGAGGTCCTTTCCGTGTTGTGAGGAGAGCCTCGACCGCTCCCCCGAAGATATCGGAAGAAATACATGTTTTTTCATATGAGTTTTTTTCTCACTAAATAAATCCTGGTCTAGGATGAAAGCGACGCGTTGCAAAGCTCGTTGTTAGTAAACCATAATCGACTTCATAAGTCGCGAGGGAAGGGATTGCAGTACCCTTCTCGCGATAAAAATACCTCAGACAGGAACCGCAGAAGGGGGTCCAGCCCCCCCCTCCTATGTGACCCCGCTGGGTCGTCTAGCTAGTAGAAGTGGAGGATAAGGGCCAGAGGGGCAGACGACAGAGTCCAATGATGGGGGTTGCACTCATAGTCGTGCATGCCGTAGTCGTTAGGCCATTGACCTCGCATCCCTACNACAGGAACCGCAGAAGGGGGTCCAGCCCCCCCCTCCTATGTGACCCCGCTGGGTCGTCTAGCTAGTAGAAGTGGAGGATAAGGGCCAGAGGGGCAGACGACAGAGTCCAATGATGGGGGTTGCACTCATAGTCGTGCATGCCGTAGTCGTTAGGCCATTGACCTCGCATCCCTACAAAGCCGGGACGGAGCACGCCGGGTTCTCACCGGACCAGGCTCTCACATCACCAAGCGCGAAGCGCCGTGAGATATTCGGCGAGTCGCATGAAGGGTGCGCTGCATCCTGCTAAGGGTGTTCGGCATCTTCTGCTTACTTTCTTGTATACGGATGACAGCTGCGTATGACTTATTTATTTTCTGGTGCTTTCACTTTCC